TCCACTCCTCCACTCATCAGAGCTGCCCATAGTACTACAGTTGCTTTCTACCCTCCTAGCACCCTTACACTTCAAGCTAACAGCTCCAACAATGAGGTTTCCATGACATGACCATCTCTCCAATAGGACTGGACTCAATCAGAACATATATTTCAAGGACCATAACTGCCTAGATGCCAACTAATGACAGTGTCTTAGTTAGCTTGGATTGGTATAACAAAATACTATAAACTGAGTGTCTTATAAACAACAGAAATTTATTTTTCATAATTCTAAAGGCTCAGAAAGTCTAAGACCAAGGTACTGGAAGATTTGGTGTCTGGTGAAGGCCTGCTTCCTGGATCAGAGACAGTTTCTTCTTGCTATGTTCTTACACAGCAGGAAGAGAGGGAAAGAGGTCTCTGGGGTCCATTTTAATAAAGACATTAATATATTAACAAGGGTTCCACCCTAATGACCTGAGTACTTCTCAAAGAGCCTACCTCTTAATACCATTACATTGGGGGTTAGGATTTCAACATATTAACTTTGTGATGGGGGCACAAACATTCAATCCACTGCACTCCACCCTAGCCCTCCAAAATTCATATCCTTCTTACATGCAAAATACATTTATTCCATTCCAACAGCCCCAAAGATCTTAACTCATTTCAGCATCAACTCTAGTCTAAAGTTCAAATTAGCATCTAAGTATCATCTAAATTAGATAGGGGTGAAACTCAAGGTACAATTCATCCGAAGGCAAAATTCCTCTCCAGCTGTGCTGTTTATTAGCTTTCCAAATACAATTGTGTGACAGGCATTGGATAGACATTCCGATTTCCAAAGAGAAAAATAAGAAAGAAGAAAAAAGAGTGACAGATCTCAAGCAAGTCCAAAACGTAGCAAGGCAAGCTCCACGAAACCTTAAACCTCAAGAACAATCCTCTTTGGCTCAATGTTCTGCCTTCCAGACACACTGGGGTGGCAACGTCACTCCCACAGTTTGGCTGGGTCCTGCTTGCCTGGCTCTTTGCAGTGGCCTCACCCATGCTTTAGTTCTCTGTCAGGGAAAGGTTCCATTTTAAGCAGGGACCCTAAATTACCATAGCCCCAAAAAAAGGCTCAGATCCAGGGAGTTGCCTCTATCAAACCCTAGTGGATGAAAGATATTGTCAGCCTAACATGTTGCATTTTCCAAGAAAGATGAGGTAAGAAGGAAAATAATCTCTCCAGGACACCTAGAAAGTATGATAACACCATGACAATTATATTTTTGTATGGAGGTAAGTGCCTCAGTGCATACATCTTACATAAAACTTCATGTTTCTTTCAGAAATATAGTTTGGTGAGATGCTTTTTGAGAGTTATCTTTAGGTATCTTCTGACACCTAAAGCTCAAGTTTCCTCTTCTTTTTTTATCATTCACATGAACTATGGTTCTGAGTGATATATTGATATTAGAAAACAAATAAGAAATTTTCTTCCCCACTATGCTTTATACATTCACTTTTGCATAATATTCTTTAGCGAAATTAGGAAGAGTCACTAAAGGACCCTAAAATATCATAGGGTCTGACAGTAACAAAATGTAATTAACCCAATCATCTTTAGCTTGAAGCACTGTTAATTTTAAAAAGTCAGACTATGTTTAAGGGCTTTAAGTACAAGATAATTTCCATTTGTTTTAGAGTGAGAAAAAATTGTCTTCTGTAATATGCTAAGTTACATGAATATAAACTCTATGAATGCTTTCTTTGGGGAATAATAAACTTTTCCTCACTTTAGAAGAGCCACTTTAAAAAGAAATTCTATAATATTATTTATAATTAAACTATGTAGCAAGTAATATCATATCTCTGAGTTTATGATAATTTAGCATAGTCTACCTAAAGTCTTCTATCTTCCTTGAAGGCATGAGCCACATTTGATTTATTTATTTTTTAAAAATCTTCCTTGCTCCAAAACACCTATGGACAGTGCTCTAAACAATACTAAATTGTGATGAACAAATTAAAAGAATGTATATGCTTGAAATGACTTAAATTCAATAAATTACATAACTTTGAGTTGTTCACCATTTCACAATTTAGCTTATTTGTGATTGGTCCAAATTCCTTAATTTTTTCTATATATTTGAATTTTGTCTAACTATAGCATCATTTGCTGTGATAAATCTGATTACTTCAGATTCGTATAAAGAACTAGATTGGTAACGTCATTATTATATGTTATAATTATTTATGGATTTATCACATCACACAAAAATGCAGTTGAAGGCATTTGAGAAAACACACTATTAAAAAATAATAAACTGGAATAGACGCACCAGAACATGTTAAACTATTTTGGTAGATTTCAGTTTTGTCAAATTCTTAAATATGTTTGGCCTAACACATTTCCCTTTAATTCCCTTAATATACTCTGTGGATTTTCACAGAAATTTGAACCATATGTTTCTGATTAATTTATACTTAACTCATCAACATGTTTGGTAAGAATGATTTGAAGCACAAAGCCTCCTGAACAGTTTTGTGGGTTCTTTTATTTTAGTTAGTAAACAATTGGAACCTGAACCCAGAAATCTTGGGGCTTCATTTAATACTCAAATTCCATAAAGAATGAGAGAGTTCTTAACTGGATCAGGCACACTTTGCCTTTGACAGTGCCTAGCTCCAAATCTTGCAGCTGGGAGGAATTATTCTGATAGTTCACTCTCTTTCTTGTCACTTTTATTTTAGAGGATATAAACCTTTGATGGTGCAAAACCTGTATGAGTCAGGACTAGCTGCCACCCATCAGTCCTATTTGTTTACACAAGTCAAGGTAAGTGCTGTCACTGCCATCAGCTCACTCATCAAGGATTCTGAAAGGAAGGCTTTTCTCTCCCAGTTGTAAATTCAGAAAATTAAACAGTGCAATTCAGTAATCTCCCATGACCTACCTACTATAATTTGTTTATGTGTTTATGTAGAGAGAGAGAAAAAGATGGAAATTTTTACCTGGCTCTCTCTGGGGTCTGAGTGAACAAGTATAAGGTTATCTGTTTAATGGATATTTCCACAAGCTAATTATTCCTTCACTTTCCAGTCTAACTCCAGCATCTTTGATGAAACATGGGATCAATCCATTCTCTTTCTCTACCAACTCAGGGAAACATACACTAAAGATCTGTGTCTGAGTGTTTCATGAAAGATATTTGGTCCCAGCATTTTGAATGCTGGCTAGTCGTGCTCTGTCATCTATCATCCTGTGGGGCTTTATTTTTCCCATTAAAATGGCTGACATCTCTTTTTTTTGTTTGTTTGGAAATTAGCAACCACACCTTCTGTTCCTCCTTTTTCCTCACAGGCATTCCTCCCACAGCTGTCAGATCCCAGGTTCCTTGCAGTTTGTGTTTATAAAGACTCTTAACATTCTGTAAAACATTAGAGATAATCTGCTTATATTGATATCTACTTTTCCCTCCACCCACTCCCACTACCTCCTTCATTACCAAACTCCAAGCCTTCCCTGTTACTTCTAAGGACTCCTTTGGAAACAAGATCTTAGGTCTAAAGGCATTCCTTTCCTTCTGCTACCCTTTGAAAATTAGAAATAAAAATCCTCTGGCTTTGAGATATGTGTAATTTCTGTAGAAGAAACTTAAAAACAGAAGATTAGTGTACTGAAATAAGAATAATCCGAAGGAAATTCCTAAGGAGAAAAACAGCTCTCTTTCATCAGCTCTCCCAGGAATTAAAGAGAGATGAAATAGATATGTGTGGTATTTAGAGAAAAAAATGCCCTTTTCAATACACAGCATAAAATTTACCTTCTGAGTTTCATAAATAAAGGTCTTAATCTTTTCTTTTATCAAACTGGAGT